TTTTGAGAATGTTCTGTAGGCCACTAATAAAAAAAAGGACCTCTGTATATTTGTTTGTTGCAAATTTACAGACAATGCAATTGAAATGTTTACATTGGCTTGTCGGGGTAATATTTCTGTCCACTGACAACAAAGTTTTCCTTCTGAATTAGCATAACTGCACAAGTTTTATACTTAATAAAATCTTTAAAAACAAATTACATTAGTTATACTTTAATATCCTTCAATAAAAAGGAAATTGAGTAAAACGGTGTAAAAGGTGTGTGGATGTGGATTAGTAATCTGGCCCCTTGGTATAAAGGAGAAAAAATGCTGGCCCTCGTCACTATCAAAGTTGCCCATCCCTGGGTATTCCTAAACAGCCTGGCAAAAATCCTCTCATTAGCAAAACCAGTTTTGCAAAAAAAATAAATAATAATATTCCCTCTCTCTCAGCATCTCAGGAAATCCTGTCTCTCCCACATGCTTCAACAGATTAACCCACAATCTCTCCCATCAGGCCTGATCTCTGATCAGTGCTGCTTTCTCATGTGTGATAGTGAAAGGTCAGAGTAATAGGTTCCAGAGCAGTGAAAAAGAGCTAATGAGAAAGACAGAAGTGTGAAACGGTGAGTTGACCTAGTCTCGCGTAGCCAGACCTTCAGATTGACGGCTGAAGGTCTGGAATCTATGGCAGTTTTCATTGGCCAAGGCCCGCCCATAGGGCCGTTTGACCGACATGTCAAACAACCAATCACAGTTCGGTTCGTTCATCGTCACGTTTCGGGGCGTGGAAATGTCGCCACAATAACAGACCGGTGTGTAAAACTCTCGGACGTATTTTAAAGATTCTATGCCGCGAACTTTAAATATTTCACATACTTTTGAGAATCCAGCGTTTAGTTGATCCTGATAAGCACTGGTCGTCACAGCTGTAAACACAACGGCTTTCTTTTTTCGTGAGGGGGTTTGGCGTCACAGCATCTTTGTTTCCAGGCGGAACGTTAAAGAACGCGACAAGCACGTCTACCGGAAATCCTGTATAATTCAACCAATCCGACGACGACTTCGAAACTCCTGAAGTGTTTCCACTTTTGTGTGCCATATGCATCAGACGAATAGCCAACGGTCCCTGGGCGTGACGTTTGAGGCTGAGACTAAAGTTGACCGTGTTCATTTCACTCAGGGTCTGTGTGGATATTGATCAAAGCTTCAGACAGATTTCCTCCCAAAGGATGCAGAACCATCATATACCCTTAGGATCAGAGGCTGAATATTTAAATATAGAGAAACTGTGTAGTCTCTGTATCCAACATGTAAAACGAAAGAGAATATGTAACAAAAAAAGTTTTGTTGTTGTTACAGAGTTCCCTTCCTCTCAGAGCATTTACTAGCCTTGAAGGCTAGCAAATACCCCACCATCACATCCAGTAAATAATAATGACCTTAAGAACTTCAACTCCCAGCAGCCTTTGCCCTGCAGAGATGAGAGTGAGGTCACTTCTAGGGTTTCATCCAGTGGGATCTTACAATTACTACTGCTCATGTTTCTATGCCAACCAAAACATAACAGCCTTGAGCACATTAACCTAAAAACAGATGCTCAACTCTTTCATTGCCTTATTTCCCAGAAAGCTTTAGCCACTGGCAGTGAAGATAGCCTGTCTTAGGTCATAGTGTCGAAGGACTCAAGACAGATTATAACCGGCAGACAAAAATAATACAAATATACAGTGATCACACTTAAAAATAAAGACAGAAGGCGTAATGCATAATGATTGCTCTTTATTTCTTTGCCCATAAATACTGTTTTATTAGTGTTTTATTGTTGCTATTACTGTTTCAAGACCAAACCAACTGACTCCAAATGACACTGGCTCTAATGGTCTACAGAGCAAGATCTGATTAAACTTTAAGACCAAGATAAAACTGTAAACCTGTCCATTTTTTAAATCCTGATGATTGCATACTAAAGATTTGTATTATACATGCAAGAATTCACCAAGACATCAACAAGTATTTATCAATTGTGGATGCCAATATAGAAGTTTGGTCAATATTTTAATCAGAACGGCTCGAGGTTGCCATCCAACCTGAGCTAAATAATCCCAGATAAAGTTAGTATTTTTTATATATATTTTCTAACATTTTAAGATGGTTACCCTGTAACCTGTACTTTTAATTATTAGGATTGGCACCTTTATCAGATTGGGAATGGTTTGGTTTTGCATCAGTAATGTCTGTTGTGTGTATCGTGGCATGATTGATAGAAGAAACCCTTTTCTATCAGAAGGGGGGAAAATGTACTCGTACCTTTTGGTCTGGGAGAGAACAAACTATAAATAAAGTAAAATGTTCTCAAAGAGCACTAACCATACTGAGAATTCAGATATAAGTAATACAATTAAAACACTTTTCTTCCTCATTAACAGACCAATACTAAACTATCAATCTATTATTTCTCTGACATCAGTCCATTTCCAAAACTATCCAACACTGCAAACATTTTTCTTTGAAAAACAAACAAAAAAATTATATATATATTGCATTTTGTAAATGTTCAAAATATTTAACAGTGATAATAAGGTCACGCCAATTACATTTTAACAGCATTTATCTGGAATAAATTAAATTTTTCAAGTATTCTCATTTGGATTGACTTCCAAGTCTCCATAATAAATCAGACAAACAGCCACCATCAAATCAAAAATAATTATATTCTAATCAGGGTACCAACCCATTAAACATTATACTGAAAAAAAAAAAAACTTAGATAATTTAATAATAATAATAATAAAAAAGGCACTAGAAAACCAGCCAAGCAGTGGAACAAAATTTAACACTGTTACTAATCAGATGTTACTAACTGAATACTAAACACAAAGCTACATCTGATTTAAAGAATAACACTTACGGCTCTGAAAATCATCATAATACTATTCCTGGCCTGTATACTGCAATATTTAAAGGCACGTGTACATGCACACATTTGTCCACACAGAGGCCTGAGCCTTGTGTGGGCTAATCGCTTTAGATGTGCAAGATCATATGTCATCATTAGCCTAAAACACACAGTAATGCAGTTAGCTAGCAGGCTTACACACTCCAGAGAGAGAATCATCACTCTCAATCACCGCACACACATCCATTTTCTCTCATACTCCTGTTTGTGTGCTGTGAGTTTAAATGGTGTTTAAGTTACTTAGTGCATATGAGCTCAGATCACGCACCTATGGAAAAGCAAGAATATGGGATCTTTGTTCTTGTTTAGTTGTTCTCCATCCTCTGTAGTGTGTAAAATTCACTATATTTCTTCTCATCTTGCAAACATAAGCATGAACACTAGACTAAATGGAGGTTGCATGTGTGTTTTGGGGTCAGAATAAGCAGCAGGGTAAGTGTTAGTGTGTCCTCTCCACTGGTGCTCCCACAGGCACTCTGGATTCAGAAACCTTCATCATCATCTACTTCATAGCCGTAATCTGTACACAGGAAAGGAGAGGAATGCAGAAAGGTTAGGACAAAACTTAATGCTCTGTTCTAAACTACATAAACTCAAAACACAACCTACATAAACACAAATAGCATAAAATGAAGATGTTTCTGTCAAAAGGAGCCAAAGTTTTCAACCAGGAGTCTGTGAGAATTATATATAAATAGGTTCTTAAATATTCATAATGTAACATTTTTGAATTAACATTTGCTAATGATCTTTTAAGCACATAAAATAGTAAAGGTAATGTTCTTAATGAAAAACAACATTAATACAAAGTTTAATGGAGAAAATCTAACTTTTTTTTATATTGAGAGACTATATTGGGTCAGAAAACGTTGAAAGCCCCTAAAGCAATGTTGTTGTTATTAATTAAAACTAAAACTATTTTTGTTAATTAGAATAAAGCTGAAATAAAATGTGACCCTGGACCACAAAACCAGTCATAAGGGTAAATGTTTTTTTTAAATTGAGATTTATATGAAATTTACAAAATATCTTCATGGAACATGATCTTTACTTAATATCCTAATGATTTTTGGCATAAAAGAAAAATCTATAATTTTGACCAATACAATGTATTTTTGGCTATTGCTACAAATATACCCCAGCGACTTCAGACTGGTTTTGTGGTCCAGGGTCACAAATATAAATATAAGATAACTTTTAACTTTAAAAAAAACTTGAAATGAAATGAAAATTAGAAATGTTGTGTTGGCAACGAACTGATATAAAATAAGCTTAAATACTAAAATTATTAAAATTGAAATTAGAATAAAGCTAAACAGAAACATTTTAAGTAAACGAACAAAAATGACAACAGCACATAAAATTACTAACATTAAAATTAAAATTAAAACTTGACAATATAAAAATAATTAAAATTTAAAAATTTAAATTGCCAATTGAAAATATTAAAATACTATACTAGTGTATAAATAATAATGAAATACCACTGGTCTAAAAGGAATACGTCTTTATGAAAAGTTAAGAATTGATCCAAAGGTGAAGGACAGTCTTTATTTTATCACATACCAGTGCTGCCCATTAACTGCATGGCACTGACACAGTGTTCGTCCTCCTCATCCTCCTCTTCTTCATTTACAGGGTCTTCGTACGCCACAGGTCCACTCTCCATGACAACAGCATTCTGGGTTGGAGCAGCAGGAGTGGCCACTGGGGCACCAAACCCTTTCTGAAGGTAGAGAAGGAATAAGAAAGTCAACATGAAATGACATTCCCAGCTCATTTTGTGTCCATCATCCAAAGCGTTTCCACTTTTTTAATGTTAGTTAGTGTGTAATGTTGCTGTTTGAGCATAAACAATATCTGCAAAGTTACGGCACTGAAAGTTAATGCAAACAGAGATATATATGTCTTTTAAAATTCTGGCAGTTTAATGCCTACAAAAACGGCTCGTAGGGACTACAACGAGCTACTTCCTGGGTTCGTTACATCACAAACCCAGAAATTTACATAAACCCCACCCCCGGGAACATGCAACAAAGGTGACAGGGCCATGTTGCGCGGCTTTAGAGAAGAGGAAGAGTTGTAGCCATGCCGTCGAAACTGTTATTTTCACCCCGCTAACAGGTCTTCTGTGTTCGCCCTTCCTACGGACGCTATACTTCGTGAACAATGGTTAAAATTTATTTTTAATTCTGTTCCTGACAATTACAATCCTACATTCCACCGGAGCACATGCAACTATTGCCCGTAATAGTAATGGGCGTGAAGTTTCCGGACAACGTACAATAAGCGATTAACGAATCACAACACACTGGGCCAGCTAACCAATCTGAGCCCATTGCGTATTTCTGAGGGAGTGGTATCATAGAAACAGGAAGTCAACCAGCCGTTCAAATGACAATGGAGACAGCGGCTTACAATAAAGGTAAAAGATATGAAAAATAAGGTGTTTTTTTTTTTTAAATGAAGCATGAAGACATGTTACACTGCACCCCATAAACACAATCAAGCCAAGAAAAAAAGCAGTCAGCCACCCCTTTAAAACAATTACAAATATGTTTCCTCTTTAGAAAACAAGCATCAATTAATTGTTCACAATAAGATAAAAGACATGTATTAATAAAGTCAAGAGTCCATTTGGATTTGGTGACTTCAACTCAGAAAACACCCTTTACTAACTCTGACTGTGTGCTCCTATTATCATGCTGCTAAAAATGAGGACAACACTTATCATCACAAGTTAGCTTCAGAGTTAGCAACAGATAGGCTTGTTAGTGAATTTATAAACGGTTTATTTTCCTGAGGGACAAAGAGAATACCATCAATCGCAAAGCTTCATTTCCCATTGCCAAGTGATGGCCAGAGGTTGCCTAGTTACCTGAGTATTGACCCCTAGAGGTAGTATATTTGCTCTGGGTTGAAAAGAGCATTGATTATATATTCACACACACACACACACACACACACACACAGAAGTTTAAAAGCAGTAGAAGGAAGACCAGAGACCAAGATAAGACAGACAGATTGACTTAATAACAGAGAAAAACAAGACAGAGGAGAAAAGATCAAGGACTCTGACATACAGAAAGATGAAGCATCATGGAAGACACAGCCGGAGGGAGTGACAGAGCCACTGAAGAGCTCCAGTGGTCTACGGACCAGAACACCAGCCAGGGATCAGTAGGAATCGAGAGAAAAGAGCATGTGTCATCAAGGCCTCCTCAGAGTCCAGGCGTCAGCGGCCCACTTTTCGCTGAAGTCCGAGGCGGTACATTAGCTTACGATATGCTAACTCAAACTGGTGCCTTTGAGTTAGACTGCTGATCTAGAAGCAGCTCGGTGGATCAAAATAATTCTCTTAATTTAGACATGAAAAGGAAAGAGCCGTTTCTAGGCCAACTTAATGCAGTTTTCCCGCACCAGAGATAAACTAAGTGAAGCTCTGGGCCAGAGGGCCATTTGAGGGTTAAGGAAAAGTGGTTTAATATATCCAGAGGCCTGCCAAGGATGTGCTTGTAGGAAGGACGGTGATTTAAATTCACTCACCTGATCGAGGGCCAGCTTCTTAGAGGGCTGCGCACACACCAGGGGCTGTAACCTTGGAGACAGCAAGACAGAAAGAGAGAGACAGTGAAAAAGACATATTATAGATAAGATAATTAAGAGAACATGGCTTATTTTTCAAAAGCTGCGCAGGGATTTTTTTTTTATCTGAATCTTAATCAAAATTTGACAGAAACACAAGGTCAAAACTTACGTACTATCCGGTCCTATAAACTCAGTATACCTCAGCTCTGTTCTTTTCAATTCACTACACTGCTTAAATCACTAACTTATTATAATGCAAATCGTGACACATTATTTAAATTAATTCCCTAAATGTACGTAATTTAAATTCTATCAACCCAGAAAAGCATGAGTTTACAAACCCACAGAGACTCTAAACACCCCCTGCTTCACAATGAAATGTCACTCTGTATATTTAGTAAAAATGTATTCACTGTATTTTTCAAAACCAAAATGCATGAATAACAACAACATTTTTGAATCTAGCACATTTTCATAGGTAGTGGTAGACATGGACAAGTCCCGTCTTGAATTACAGTCTACTTCAAATCTCTCATTGTAAAATTCCCAGTGGAATAAACATGGCAGCTCGAGTGACAACAGGAGGGGGAGATCGAGAGACAGACAGAGAAAGAGGGGGCAGGACAAGCACAGAAGAATCCAGAGACCGTTAACATCTCAGTATTTGCAAGTCAACGTGCAGTGGCACAGTTTAAATAATGAGTTTACTCATTATTCCAACGAATGTAAAATATGTTAATGAGGTATGGATATGATGCACCAAACCCGCAGCATAAATAAACGCTAATCAGAATCATATGATTCTCTTGATAATACATCGGAATATGCAGAAGAGATTCAGCTCTCATGGGAGCAGTTCTCTTTATATAACCACAAGCCGCCCCGAATCTACTCAAACGCACATATTCAACTCAACTCAAACATCTCTCTATAGATAGATAGATAGATAGATATAATGAAACAATAGAAAGATTGAAAGAACGACAGAAAGAAGGATAGAACGATGGATATAACTACAGAAAGAAGGATAGAAAGATTAAGAGAAGGATAGAAAAATGGATAGAATAGAAAGGATTTAGTGAAAAAGACAGAAAGAAGGATATAAGAAAAGAAAGATGGATAGAATGTTAGAAAGGATAAAAATGGATAGAGTAGGAATAAGGAAAGAAAGAAGGATAGAATGATAGAAAGAAGGGCAGAATAATAGAAAGAAGGATAGAAAGATGACAATGACAAAAAAATGATAGAATAGAAAAATAAAGTAAAAAGATGGATGAAATGATAGAAGGATAGAATGAGAAGGATGGATATAACAAAAGATAAAATGATATAACAAAAGATGGATACAATGAAAGGATGAAACAATAGAAAGTAGGATGAAAAGATGGATAGAATGATAGGTAGAACGAGAACGATAGAACGATAGATAGAACAATAGAACGATAGATAGATAGATAGAACGATCGATAGAACGATAGATAGATAGATAGATAGATAGATATAGACAGACAGACACACACAGACTCCTTCAGATTCTCAGTCAGTAAGACAGGCATGTATGGTTGAGACAACCCAGCATACGAGTGTCCTATTGATGCTACAGTGCATTCTGGGATGGGGAGCGGTGCGGTACTTGGCATGAAAACAAGCAGCCAGAGCCAAAACACAGCAACAACATTCTATTCCTGAGAAACAGTCTACACACACACACACGCATTCACATGTGCGTCAAGGGCTGATAAACTGTTCACACCACTGAGTGGGTCAATTATTCAAACACAGAGCACAATAATGATTAGGGGTGGGAATCAGGGACCTGCTGATGCAGTATATTGATATCTGGGTCACAATACAATAATATTGTAATTCTTTGTGGCAGTTATTCAAAACTGTGATATTGTGATTGTGATTTTCTTTCATCTGAATTAACCCTTGGTGCTTTTCAGAATTATACTCAATAGGATTTAGTTTGAACAAAACATTAAGTGTTCCTTCAATAGTTCCAATTTTCTTGTCAAAATCAAAAAGATTTGAGAATATCACTAAAATACTATGAGATTAAATAATATCAAATATCTATTTGATATCTATTTTTTTCCTCTCACCATTAGTAATGATGTGCGCATGACCTCATTCAAGAGTCTTTGGTTTGTGCTTGTGATGACTCCATTGCTTTCTCACAGAACATTATAAATCGTTCAGCATTTACTTTGACCTTCTGCATCACGCTGACCTCAGTGTATGACTAAATGGCTGATGTCAACAGGGCCATTTATTTTATTGAGCTGAAGGTGTATGACACCAGGCTGACACTATTTCCGCTGAGTGCATGAAAGCATGAGCAAACACCGCCTAAGAAGTAGGTGTCTTCATTTCAGAAGCATGCCTTGGTTCCAGGCAAAGATAAGGGTCTCTCTTTTCCTCAAGGATGACGAAAACTTCCTCTCATTTTTGGGTCAATTCAGCCTTGAGAAAAACCCAACTTTCTTTGATCTTGCAGACAGCAGACAGCTTACCTCTCCCTCTCCGTCTCTCTCTCTCTAGAGATGCAGGTTTTCTGCAAGTAAGCTGATTAAGTAAGAAACTTCAAGCCGACAGCAGACAGATCCTCAGAGGAAGTGAGACAGAAGCAAGATAAAGAACGGAAAAAAATGGGAAGAGTGTCTATAACATCTGTCTGAAAGAGCGAGAGGGGGAGACTGTTTAATTACCAGATGTGTGATGGTGTGAGATGGTGTGAATGTCTAGGTGTGAATGTCTAACATGAGATGGTCTCATGTATGGATACAGAGGAAGTGTTGAAAGAACAAAGGACTGCAAAAATAAGCGCAATCCATCTCAGGTTCTTACAAAGCCTTACCGCTAACTCTATTGAAAACCTGTTCATTTCAGCAAAAAATTAACACTGTCTTACACAAACACTCGCACTCTTTGTAGTCTCCATGGTTCCGGATAAATGCTGAGCTGTGGGTATTTGAGAGGACAAGAAAATGACCAGAAAATTTGGGAGGAGTGCGAGGGAGAGAGGGTTAAAACAGCAGGGGGTAATTATACAGGCTATTGCTGGATGACAGAGTGAGAGAATGTGAGAGACTTATTAAATTTAAGGTTCAGAAGCACAGAGGGACGAACAGACCAGCAGATGGGTAGATGTTCAGGTAATTGCGAGATGTCGGGAATATGCTGTAAAAATACAGAAGAGAGACAGAAAAGGGAGGTTGCGTGTCTATGTGTGTGTGTTTGTGTATAACAGTACAGTACACAATACCTCAGTGTGTCACAGAGGGTGGACTGAATGGAATACAATGGCTTTACTGTCAGCAGAACATCATGCACACACACACACACACTGATATGCACTAATTTTGAGTTTCTGTGATAAATTCAGGTTCAGCTGAAATAGGACTGGGAACCTCTTAAGAGAACCTGAAAAAAAAAAAACAGTCGAGTTAGGGTTGTGCAATATATTTTCAATGACTTTGTTGGCAATACAATAATAAGCAACATTGTGAATATCACATTAAAATATGCTTATTTGGCCATTATGTTTACTAATCATTGTGTCAGAGGTCTGTAAATAATAAAACTTTCCAATTCAGTGAACACTAGTTTAATGATTAGTTTGTCCAAAATGTTCATGAAAATTTACTAAATGTTTTTAAATCCATATGTAAATTTGTGTACTATTTATGTATTGTTACATTGTTGTATAAAATAAAAAAAATGATTAAATATATACACACACATTATTTCCAGATGTTTTTCATAACATTCAATATATCTTTTATATATTAAATTTGCAATTTGTTTCAGAATTTTTCAAAACAATATTCAATATATCTTTTATATGTTAAATATTGTTCAATACTGTCACGGCGCGGTTAGGAAAACACCGTGTAAACAGGGGTTTGGGTCCAAGTGCAGGTTTATTAGACTGCAGGGGAAAAAACAAAGTAAAAGCCAAAACAGAAAACACACAGAGCTAAGACTCTGAGACACAGGCAAGGAAGGGAATCTGATGCAATACGGCCACGTAGAGCTTGCATCAGTCCACACATCACAGCTCGTACACAACTACAAACAATTACTAATAATCCGCCCAGAGTGGCGTGGGGAAGGCGCATAAATAGCCCTCAGGATGGGCCACAGCTGTGTGTGAGTGAGTGTGTGCACAGGTGTGTGGAGTCAAGGTAACGGAGTTCAGGATGGGCAACAGCTGTGTGTGTGTGTGAGCACAGGTGTGTGGAGTCAAGGTAACGGGAGGATGGGAAGTGGCGACCTCTGGTGGTGAGAGGGAGAACACCAGACGCCAGACCCTGACAAATACCTAAAAACTATTTTCAATTTATTTTTTGTTAAGCCTTTTATTTTTTAGCTATATTGCCCACCCGAAGAATGAGTCTATAAAAGAATGAATAAAAAATGTAAAAAAGGATGAGTAAAACAAGTCAATGAATAATACAGACACTCTCGTTCAGGTAGACTCCATTCAGTAAACAGACTATAGGCTGTTATGAGTGAGAAAAAAGAGAAAAACTGGGAAAGAGAGAGCGAGCTTGGCATGGTAACAGTGTAATGGCTTTTAAAAGGACGTTTGCTCACCTTTCATTCAGAAAAAAAACATAAAACCTACTTTCAGAATGAATGATTCAACAGATCTATCCTGTTCACTTCAAGAATTCATTCAACAAGAAAACACTACACACAGATAAAACTGGCCACTCAAAGAGAGAGACAGAGAAAAAAGAGAGAGAGGTGCTCATTGTTCCATGATATTGGCCTTGGTGTGTCAGAGACAAACTGAAGGTGGAGCACATTTTCTGTGCAGGGCCACCAAGAGCCTCTCCTTAAAGAGAGAATATATATCCATGACTAATGACAACCTAGAAGGCCTTCAGCCAAAGACTAATAGCATGAATGGAAATGAGTACACAGTAGTACAACACACACATATTTTCCAAAAAGGAGGGTACCAAGGAGTGGGCCGCAGTGGGGCCTCACTTTAAATATGTGCTCTAACCTTTAATGTGTTCCATACCAGCATTTAGAGACCAAATATAAAGCAGAACGGGGTTATTCTGTCTGACCATATGCATGGGACTTTCTCTCTCTCTCACACACACCCACGGTTAATTTAGCCCAGATTGGGCTATTCTTAAGAGACCTGCCCTGTACTCAAGGGCACAAAAGGGTAAAGGACATAAAAAAAGAGAGAGAAACATACATAAGAACCTTTCACACTTGCAGCCCGACCCACAAAGCTCAAGGGATTTTCCATCTGAGGGTCATGAGTGAAATCCTAATTAGCTTTTCCAAGAAAACTGATCTAAAAAAAAAAAATCATCACGCATATGGGAATTTACAGTTTTGATGAGGAATTCAGTACATCTTCATGACTGTGCTGCTACAGAAAGTGTTGTGAAGTGTGGAATCAGATGATAATACCATGGTACTTGGATATGCACTGTGGTCCTGAATAATTCAACTGTTCATACACCACAGTTTTATCATGGTACTCCAAGGTACTTCAACGGAGGGCCACATTATAAATCTCATAAGCAAAATTATATTTTTGAGGACCAAAAACCATGGTAATACCATGATATTATTCTTAAGATGCTATATTAGCAGCAGAAACCAGCATCAACAAGACCATAACCAGTATAACCACAAAAACATGTGATCTGAATGACATGTGTGACTAACGCAGCATGGAAAACGTCAAAGCAGAAAGCATTGCAGCATAATAGGCTAATTTTATTAGACTGCTTGCTGTTACTAAGCTGAAGTAAACCTTGAATCTTTCTTTAACAAAACTATTATTTCAATGATTTATGAAATGAAGACAGACTCTGTATTGCAGATGCACCTTGTTTAAACATTGTAAAATGGTAAAACATAAAATAGTTTTCATTTGAAAAGATATAAAGATAGAATAAGTACAGTTACAATCTTGCACCCTGCCATTGTGTATCCGTAGGTCTATAGTTAGCATAGAGAAGAAAAAGAGCTGAGTTGGTACAGGAAAGAGCCCAAAAATGGGTGTGGGCAAACAAATAAAAATCAGGGTGTATCAATAGGAGTGGATCTGTTTTTAGACTGTCCACATCAACACTCTAAGACACAGGATTACTAGAGGAGAGAACAAACATTCACAACGTTTTTTTATTTTGTATTAAAATAAACCACTTTTTGTGAACACAAAATTTCCCCATACTATGTAATCTGTCTGTCTCATAAGGTTACGTAATGCAACACTATCACAGCCAATCAGAAGATATTTGATGTTTAATTTACAGCTATGCAGAGTGTGTTTTTGGACCAATACAATTTTCTGTGGGAGGGGCAACCCGGGTTGACGCAAAAAAGTAATAGAAACCAAATCAAACAACAAAATGTCTAGTCACTCACTGCAGTTGCGGCTGGTTAGGATAAAAAAACCTTTTATATGGAAGAGATTTTTTCACATCATTCTTGGACAGGATGTGGGGGTTAGACTGTGATGGTGAGATTTTTCTAGGACAGATGGCAAGTTATGTAGTATAAAGGATTTTTTAGAACAGAATGTGTAATTAAAGGTGTGTGGGGGGAAAAAAATCCAAAAAAGCAGGGAGTGAGAGAAAAACAGAAATAAATCAAGACAGAAGAAACCTTTCTCATACAGTTCCATACCTCTTGCCAAAGCTGCTGATAGTTTTGCCAGTCATGGGTGAAGTCAGTTGGGGTTTCCGTTGGCGGGCCACAGGGGTTCTTTTGGCTCCGGCGGAAGCTTCTTCAGTCTGTTGAGTGGGACTTTTTGGGCTGGATTTGTTCAAGTCTTTTAGAACATCGTAGTTTATTTTAGTGGAGATGCGTTTCTGCTCCAACATCTTTTCAATGGCTTCGTCTGCAGTGCTGGCATTGATGGGCTCACGCCTCCGTGCCTTCTTTTTAGGCTTTAAGATGACACAAAAATAAGAAAGTAAACACGTACACATTTGTGACCCTGACAACTGCACCTGCATTTATGATGTGCCTTGTTACCTTCCGCTCTTTATATGTACCCTCCTCCTTTTCCTTTGCTATTCTTTCCTCCTTTTCTGAAGGAAAAAAAAACACTTAGCTTTAACAAAAGTGTTCCAAACTTGATTTAAATGAACCTGTCAAGAGTAAAATGTAGAAATGGGACATTTCAATCTCTTCCACCTTTCTGTTCTTTGAGGTAGTCTGCATTTTGAAGCATCCACAGTTCAGTCTTCACCTTAACTTCCTTCTCATTAAGGATATACTAAGAGAAAAAAAAGAGAAACAATATATAATCCCTCACGTCATGGTGGACGAGCTGAAGAGAGTAAATTGCAACATATCTCATTCCACTCTATTCTAATGCAATCCCATTATTCATTTTTGAATATGAATCTCATCCCAGATTTCAACTTTATAGAACCACAATTATGCTGATTCTCTCAATGGACAAGACTTCAAACATGAGCTTACGTAACTCTCTATTTGCTTTCAAAGCAAATTATCATGTCGTTACCATAATGAGGTCAAAACTCACCCGATCGATCTCGTCCTCGTCGATACCGCTCAGGTCTAACTCACCGTTTTCTGCCTCCACATCTGATGGAGAAAAACAAAGACTGTTCCTAAATATTTAAGATTTTGTTTGTAGATATAAGAACATTACAAGACTGAATAAATTTGTGCACAGATACTTCCCTGTTTAATTATCATATGATCATATTATAATTTATTTTTTAAAATCACTAAATAAAAAAGCACTTAAAATAAAAGTGTTCAAAAAATTAAATTAAATTAAACAAAACATTTGTGTTGTGAATCTCATTCACTGCTTTGGCAAAAGAAAAAGTCTCGCCTTGTGTTTTCTCCACATAATTAAAGTGTATTCAAAGTTTCCCTTTCCTAAGGAGAAACACATGCTGATTATGTGTAATGAAAGCTTCAGCATTTATATTTATGCTGCCATTCAAAAACCATTTCTTTGAGCTAGTTGTTCAATTAGGTTAGTGGACATATACAGAAAATCCCACTACAGTCTAACCTTAAAACCACCACATAAAATGTCCTTCAGCAAAATCACATGGCAAAATAAACTCAAATACATGTTTCTCTGTGGTTTCTGCCCTGTAGCAAATCTTACTGGAAAGTCTACTGGGGCTGCTGGGATCATTATAACAGTGGCTCTACAGTAGCAACTTCCAAGATTATTCTCCCTCCACCTTCCGTCTTTTTCCTCTTTTCCAGGTCCTCCCTTCCCCCAACTTTACTCTTTTCTTTCTGCCTGGAGATTGTTGGCAACGCTTCAGAAGTTCGCTTTATAGAGCATCTCTCTCTCTCTCTCTCTCGCGTGTGTTGTATTGGAAAAGGGGTTAGAGGGGGAAAAGCACAGAAAGAGAGGGAAATTCTGTTCTTCTCGCTTCTGAACGGGGGGCGCTCAATGCCAGTAGATCCCGTGAGCCAAGAAACCTGACCTTCTCTCGTTGATTACATCTGAACACGCAGAGACAAAACACATTTAAACCAACACACACACAGAGTCCTCCAATACCGCACATTAAAACACACTGTGCCATGAGTCACATGTGTGTGATGTGGTGAGAACGTGAATAGCAGAGATTAGTTACAACAGGCAAAATAAAACCGCACCAGAGAGAGACTACCAGGTGCAGCTGGATTCAAGAAAAGAGTAGCTGAATAAAGAGAAGCAAAACTGTAATAAAACCAGCAGTGCAGTCTCTGTCTTTCCCATTAGGCCTAACTTTGTGTTCATGTTCAAATGTTGTTGGGTTTTTTTTGTACCGTCTGTTTTCATTTACTTAGGACATAACCAACTGTGTGCAGCTTGCCAGGAAAGGCATTAACTAAAAATAGCATTTAAAGCGTTCACATGCACAGCCGCACTACCTGAAGACATATGCATATGCATGAGTGTTCGACAGCAGCTGCATGTCAGTCAGACAGCACTTAGGGACCTTATACTGTTAAATATACCTGTAGAAAAAACTGGTAGTGTTACTTTTTGTTCAGTATCAAATTGGTAATGAGTACTGCCACTTAAAGGGCAAGGTTTCTTTTTTTGCTTGAAATTACAATTAATGGGGACTGAAGAATTCAAAAAGGATGCAAAAACACCATAAATGTAGTCTATACAACTCACGCACTATATTTCAAGTCTTCAAGTAGCATGATAATATTAATAGTAATATGATGCTGAATCTCAATCGGCATGAAACAGAAATTGTGATCGTCTTTTCTTAATTATTGTAATACATATCTGAGTGAAATGATCAAGTTTTTAAAGCTTTTTTCAGCAACTGTTCACTGTTAAAAGAAAGGTATGAATATAATCTTCCAAATTTATAATTTTGTGTTGCACAGAAGAAACTGACGTCACACGGTGAGTTAACGATAACAATTTTCATTTCTGAGTGACTGAGGGACATCAACTGTCCCTTTAACCTCACCTGAAAATCAGAGGCAAAAAAAACCCCTGAGAAGCAGAAAAAAGGAGCCAAGTTCAACAAAATTACAGGAGAGAAACAACAAATGACAGACTCCATCTAACACTAATCATTCTCCCTCTTCATCTATTCCCCTGTTCTTCCAATCTAAAAACGTCTCCGTCCTCAGGCTAAATTTCTGAATGGTGTTGTCCACCTAGACATTAGCGTTTCCACGTGCGTTCAGAAAGAGTTCAAAGGCCCCCCTCATCTCCAGAGGTTTCACTGACACCAACACATGTTCAGCGTCAAGCACGGTGTCTGACTAAAGACGTCCTGATATTTCCAGATAGCACCAGACAGACACCTCTTTCTTTCTCTCCCTGGACAATTCTCACTCTTCAGCACATGCAGAAGCTCACCAAACGTAATCATCTGATAATGTCACTCAAACTGACTGGCAGGTCAAAAGAACAAGCACTGAAGCCCAGGGAAAGGAAAAGACGGACAATGGAGATGCAGAGATAAGGAAAGAGAGAGGTAGGGCGGGTTTCTTCTGGAGGTGAAGAGAGCAGACAGGCCCATTAAAAACTGACCCCTACTTACCCCTGTGACTTCCCCAGGGAAACCCCTCGCCCACTCACACACCTGCTACAACAGTCTATATATCGCCCAGAGGCTGGAAAGAGAGAACGAGAGAGAGAAAATGTCAAGAGAAAATATGTGCATGTGCTTTTTTCACACTCTACTGTATATACACAGAGCAAAAATGGGGGAGGGTTAGACAAATTTTCATACAATAACATGAAAATGTAAAAGTAACAGTAGAAAGGAGAAGAGAGAAAAAGATCTGAACAGACTTTATTCTTGAGATTTCCCATTCTCACACGTTCGGTTGCCCTTCAGGTGTTAAATCTAGACAGCAAAACAGCCTCACGGAGGTCCGCACACAGATTTTTCTGTCAGTGCATGTTAACGGAAGAGTGAACTTGTCTATCACACGGATCGGGCCTCCCACAGTCATTTGTTTTTTTCCTCTCCACACATCTGTCAGTCAGTCACTCTTTTATTATGTCATATTTCACACAGATAGCAGCACCCCTGTCGGATGACATCACATCACTGTGTCAGTACTTCACAGTGCATTTCATTAGGAGAAAAAGCAATAAATGAGTGACGAGGATTAAAATGATAAAGAGACTAAATCATACAGCAGGAAAAATAAGGAAACATTATAAACATAAATGTAAACATAAATCTTAAATGTGTCATGTTGAAAACTTCACTAAAACTAGCACAATGTTGCTATGACAACAGTTTCACAGCTTTAAAAAATAGTTTTTTAAAATTAAACTAGTTTAAAGTCAAAACAATGGTTTGGTGATATATTTAATATTATACATTCATGTAGATATTGCTGGAGATTCATGTAGATTTTGATGTTGAAGTCAAATGAAGTTACACTGTGAATATTGCACAGATTTTAATGTGCTTTTCATGAGAGAATTATATGTACAGTACCACTCACAAAAAAAATCTTATTATTATCAATGTTCAACAGTTGTCCTGCTTAACATTTTTGTGGAAACTATTTACATAATACAAAATAGGATGAATAGGAACTTTAAAATAGAATTTAATAGAAATTTCTGACATTTTTGATCAACGTGTCCTTGCTGAATAAAAGTATAAAACAATAAACTATATCTATGTATATATATATATATATATATATAGATAGATATATATATAGATAGATATAGATATAGATACACACACACACCTCAGTACATGTTAACATAAATATCGATATCATCTAAAGGGAGAAAAAAGACGGATCATTTTTTTAGCTATATCACCCAGACCTAGTATTAACACAAAGACCTACAAATGGACACAGCACTTCAAAACCATGTGATCTGTGACATTATTCTAAACACTGTGTTTATGAACATAGTTATAAAGACTAACAAATGCACATCTGTGTGCATTATAAAGGCCTTATGAATGTAAATTACCATCACTTTTGGCCCATCTGTCCTTTACAAACCCCCAACAGCTGTCCATAGGATGTGTTCAAAGCAAACAAGAAGAATAAATGTCACTCACACACATAGTCTGTCTTTCATTCTCCTTTGAAAGGCACCTCTCCCTCCCCTCCTCTCATCTATCTATCTCCTCCCACTTTATCCCTCTTTCCTAGTGTAAATGAACAAGTCTTTTCTCTCCTCCTGCTCTGAAGATCCAGAGAGATTCTGACAGAAGAGAAGAGAAGGGCACGATCCATCCACTTTTTTATGTTAGAGGCAAACAGTGAACAGTAACATTATGCAAAGGGAATAGAAATTAGACAGAAATAAATTTAATAGACTGACTGATCAATAAAAAAAAGAAAAAACAAACATAGAAGCACATTAAAACTAGGGATTCTGGCATCTCCTACTGTGTGGTCAGCAAGGGGGCCAGGGAGGACAGTGAGTGACCATCTGGAGACTGACACTCACTGCTGCAATTCAGAGAATTACACTGCTTACACAGCAGCACCGGATTTCTCTCTCTCTACACACACACACACACACACACACAAAAGGGAAACCGTTCTGACATCCTCACAGAAGAGAACTGACCTTAGAAAAACTGAAAAAAAGAAAAGGTACAAAAAAGAAAGGCAGGATGAGGAGAGGACTGAGACCTTCAAACACCAGTATACAACTTGCTCTCTCTCTCACACAATTTCAGTATCCTTTATTGGCATGGCAAAAACTGTATGTTTATATTGCCAGCATATTTCAAGCATAGCGAAATTGTGAGAAAGTAAACAAAGTATTCAACATAATTAGTATATGTAAAAAAATTATAATTTGACACTCCTTGGTCACTCTTAGCTAACATGCTAAAGCTAGCAGCACCACCAAATGAGAAACACATTGATATGCAGTGTAAAGGGAAGTACAGTAAATCATTTAAAACACAGCTTCTGAGGAAATAAATTAACAGTGTTGAGTAACATAGACAGTAGGAATTGATGAATTAAAATAAAATGGAATAAAAAATCTGCACAGTTGTAAAGCTGAAAGTGCACGATAAATAAAGTTATTGTCTCCCAAAAGAAAAAATCGACTCTGAACAGCCTAAATGAGTCATCAGTAATTCGAATCCCACTTCCGTGATGGCTAAAAGTCAAGGGCTAACACATTTGCATAATGTCTGCCTTTGTTCTATGCTGGCCGGCCGCGAGCAACTTGTAGCATGCTCATGTTGAGAAGACGCTGTGTCCTACGCTGTGAAACTGCTATGGTACAGTGGAAAAAAATAATTTTAACCACTGATACTTTGCAACCTAATCTTTCGGAAGTGAAAATAAAACAAATTCACCTTCACTGTGAAAGTAAATTTGTTTTATTTTCACTTCCGAAAGATTAGGCTGCAAAGTATCAGTGGTTAAAATTTATTTTTTCCACTGTACCATAGCAGTACAACCCCAATCTTTTTTTATGTTCCTGTCATTTTACTGAAGACTGCTTCTCTAATCTCAGGGAATTCAACGCGGGATTCACAAAACACTTGCTCTTGAAAGACGGCTTAGTACCCAATTTATTTGGACCAGCTCGCTCCACTGAATCACAACCTGTAAGTAAGATAAACAACAGATGTTTATATTTTTTATTTAGCGTTCAAAATACGGAACTGGCAATGGGCGTATTGTTTCCGACACGTGCTGTACGTGGTAGACCAATCACAACAGACTGGGCCATCTGACCAATCAGAGCAGAGTAGGCTCACGGAAAGTGAATCTTAGAACTGCTTTGAACGATTTGTTTGAGAATCGTTGGAAAAATGAGTTGATAACTAAATGCATATTTTGAGAAAACTAAAGCATTTTTTGACCTTGAATGCATGTAAACCTACAGTATTGTAGGAGACTCCCAAAGCAATATTAGGAACCTTAAAAATGACATAATAGGGCCACTTTAATTAAACAAGTTACTGTGATAGTTCACCCAGAAATTACAATTCTGTGATAATTTATTCACCTCATGTCGGTACAAACCTGTATGACTGACTTTCTTGTGTCTCAGTGAAATGTCTCAGTGTTTTTCATCCACACAATGGAAATCAATGGTCACCAAAAGTATTTGGTTATCAACACAAAAAATACCTTATTTTGTGTGGTGGAGAAAGAAAGAAAATCAAACAGGTTTGGAATGACATTAGTTAGTAAATGATGACAATTTTCATTTTTGAGTGAACTATCCCTTTAAGGTACATTATGAAGAACAAGACCAATGGTGCCAATAATGGTGATAATGAAGTTCTCTCTCTCTCTCTCTGATGCAACATACACTCTCACATCACACAAACATTTTTGCATTTTTAAATAAGAACATCCAGCTTCCTCTCATTCTCACACTGAAGAACTAGAACACTCTGACAAGCATCATATTGTCTGGAATGGAACAATGAGCCTACCTAAAAATAAACAAAGAAAATAGACAGACAGAAAAAGCTGAAGCAGACAGAACCAAGACAGAAGTGCACACACACAGAGCCATATATTGTCAGTGCCCATATAAAATCACTGAGATGAAATGAGAAAATTGAGGGAAATAAATGACATATTGCTGCAGATCTACGAGGCATTCAGTTGAGTTACATAGAACATAGACACTGGTCAAAACAAAAACACTAAAAATACCTCCTCTCTGAGTCATGATTTTTCCTGAACCCCACTCCAAACCAAACCCAAATATACACACACACAGTGTTCAAGTGGGTCTCACGGGCAATCAACTCGCACACAGACACCCGTAGTGGGTGGATGAATGGCAAGGTGCTGTGTTTAATTAGTGCTTCAAAGAGTGGAGGGGGGCTTCCTCTTCCTCCGCCCCATACAAATCATCCACAATCACCACAACCAATCGAAAACATGACAACCTGCTCGCACAGCCAATCACACAATCTGACAACCTGCCAGCACTCTATCCCCAGGAGTTTACCAGCTGCAGCTCTTCAGCCTGTGATCAACAAAGTCTTATTCTCTCGCTCAAATGCTCTCACATAGTGTAAACGCAACAACCACAAAAGATAACGCAATCATTTCAGATAAATAAGTAATTCTTGAGTTCTGTTATCCAGAGGCTGGGTAACTCTCGATGTGGTATAGATTGAATTTTTAGAAAAGAAGTCACTCCAGTTTCACTCCTCTTCCTCTATTTATGTCATAACAGTACAATTGTGTGAAGGAGGGGTGAATCTAGAACGAAAATGGATTAATGTGAATGTTTAGAAGAGAAGTCACTCCAGTTCCCCTCCTCTTCTTCCATTTATGGCATAATAGCACAAATGTGTGAAAGAAGGGTGTATCTAGAGTGAAAGTGAATTAAAAATGGATTCATGTGAATGTCTAGAAAAGGAGTCACTCCAGTTACATTCCACATCATCTATTTATGGTATAACAGCACAAATGTGGGAATGAAAGCTGAATTTGGAATTGAAGTAATGTGAGTTTAGAATAGGAGTCCAGATACACACTTCTTCTTCTACATGTCATAATAGCTCAGATGTGTAGCGCCATTTTGGAGAGTATCCGCTGGACGTAAACAGCGTATGCTGTTCTGTGTCAGCTGCCTCACACGGATACGCTGTTTTCGTTCAAATCAAATCACAACAACGTAGGAAACAGATCCGGCGTGATGCAGCTGACACAGAACAGCATACTTGTGAATGCATACAATGAATGTGGAATGAAAGTGGATTCATGTAAGTGATTACAAAAGGAGTCACTATAGTGCCATTCTTCCTCTATTCATGTTGTAATAGCACAAATGTGTGGCTGAACAATGAATATGAAATGAAAGTGGATTCATGTGACTCATCTCATTACTAAACAGCAAATGTGGAATGAAAATAGATGGAAAGAAAGTGGATTAAATGAAAGATGATTAATGTTAATGTTTAACAAAGGTGTCATTCCAGTGCCACTACTTATCCTCTGCTTGTACCTTGTCAATGTTTTGACAGCAAAAAAATTTATAATAAAAAGTGACTGTGGAATTAAAGTGCATTAAGCATTTATGCAGTGTGAAAATAAAAATCATGCTCCTACCATTTTCCTTTTCCTCTCCCATTTTGGTGATGGACTCGGGCAGGCCCAAACTGGCCGCAGTGGGCAGCGCTCCAAGTAATAATGCTAACGAGGGCCGTTTGGTTGGAGAGACTTTCTCTCCATCTCGCTCCTGCTCATTGTCCCCTCCAACATCTCCACATATAGTACTGTACAGGTGAGATGCTGCTGCCCTCAGCTCGTCGTCCTCTCCTTCCTCATTACCAGCAAGGACGCTGGACGACGCCAAGGAAATCACATCATCTGGAAAAAGCAAGCAAGGAAATATGCACACATCACAAACTAATCATTGCAGGAGCATCAAATAAAAGAGTATAATGAAAGAAAGAAATTGCTGCATGAATGCAAATAAAGTGCATTTATTTTTGTAATTAAATTATTTTGCTAATTAAAACATGAAGCTAGATGCATTCGCCCTTTGATTTTGAACTTCGCTATGATCCAGCTGACATGGGGAGAAAGTAATTATACAAACACACACAGTTGACCTCAGTAACACACATGCATGCACACACACTACCGTAAAGTGAACACACATGCATGAAAAGAGACACACAGACACACACACAAACACTCCCATGCTCGCGGTCTTAATTAGCTCCCTCCTGTAATCACTACATTAGAGAGAGAGAGATAACACGCATGGGGAAGCACTGGATCTCTGATTGTGGCTGTTGCTGAACAAGGAGCTAATTGGACAGCAACACAAACAGAATTTCTGCAACACTCCATTTCCTGAAAAAAACGTTGTGAGAGCAGCATTCTCACCAAGCAAAGAGCAATTCTAACAACAAGAAAATCATTTGTTTTAAGCACAAATATTTTGGGTGTCATTCACCAATAATTTTGGTTCTTATGGAGCACTTCTGCCAGAATTCATACACACGTACTTGTTCTTCCCCATATTCTAATATTGATAAATCTGTAATATCGGACTGTGTGCCTGCAGTTAGTAATTGCTAAATACATCGCAAACAATCTTCATATAGGGGCTTTCAACTCAACAGCCATTCAACACTCTTTGCAAATGAATTCTTTCACTTTTAATTTTTCTAAATATGCCCTCCCATCTGAGAACATGCACTGCACAATCTTCATTTCATGATCTGTATTTCTTTAGCTTAAACAGAAGTGTAAATGTTCAAGTACAGCCAAGTGTGTCATTCTCAAAACCAGATGTAGAATTAACTGGCCTGAACTACACTTCCAAGTCTACCCAAGAATGAGCTATATTTCTATATTATATAATTTTTGTCACACTGGTTACTTAATTTTAATAAGTAAAAAAAAATAGATATTAAAAATGTATATTTAAAAAAATGTTATTTAAATATAAATTAAAGTGTGTAGGGACATTAAGATTTTTTTTCAAAGAAATTCATTCTTTTATTCAACAAGGAAGCATTAATTCAATCAAAAGTGACAGTAAAGACAATGTTATATAAAAGACTTCTATTTCAAATAAATACTGTTCTTTTCAACATTCAATTTATCAAATATTCCTGAAAAAATGTATCACAGTTTCCACAAAAATATTAAGCAGCACAACAATTTTCAACTGTGAAGAAAATTTAAAAAAATGTAATCACCAAATCAGCATATTAGAACGATTTCTGAAGAATCCTGTGAAACTGAAGACTGGAGTAATGGCTGCTGAAAATTCAGTTATATTATTTTTTTCTCTAGCTTTATTTTAAATTGTAAAAATATTTTGCAATATTACTGTTTTTACTTTATTTTTGATCACATAAATGCAGCTTTGGTGAGTAAAAGAGACTTTTTTCTAATGAAGCACAAACTTTGGAATGGTAGTGTACTTTTCTGCGGGATTGTGTGTGAACACTGTACCATCTTTGGAATAGGATGCATAAATCCCCCTGGCTTTGGGCCTGCAGCTCTCCAGCTCGACTTCAATCTCATCCTGATATCCACAGATTTCACCTGCAGAGCACATACAGGTGTATGCACACAAAGCAACACGTCAACAACACAACGTATTAGGTTTGTTCAAACACCCATGATGTAAATTAAAGCATAAACTCCTGTCGAAATGTTTCTAGGTACCTTCAATATCATCAACTTTCTTTGCAAGCTCTTGCTCAATCTGTGGAAGGATTCAGAAAGAAAAAAAAGGATGGATACATATTGCGCATACAGCATCGCACATATTGCAAAACTGGTCGATTTAAATGTTAAAATTTGTAAATTAAAGTGCCATGTGATGCATTACCTGTTTTAGCTTTTGCTTCTTGAGTCCAGCCGTGTAAGAGGGCGGGTCACACTCCTGCTCCAGATCCACCCTCAGGAACTCTTCAATAGTCAGCTCACTGGTGGGCGTGTCCTCAAATTCATTCAGCCTGTCAATCAAACACACCAGGGGTCAAGACAGTCATCTGAACAGCAAAATGGGCCCTAAATTCAAAGCCTCAGAAACACAATAAACAGAAACACCAAAATACAGAAATGGCACCAATTATATAATATTAATTATATTGCTACAGATTATAATACTGGCCATACTGTGATTATTATTTTAAAACAAAACACACCTTTTTCTCAGTGTGGCTTCACAGACTTTCACCACACTGATCACTTCCTTAATTGTGCGACGGAACTCGTGCATCCGGGCAGCAACCAAGAGCGCTACAGGGAACACAAATACACAACTGTAGGCACAACATATACACATTCAGCCAATGGCAAGAGAAAAAGAGAGAGAAAGAAAGAAAGGAGAGAGGACACAGTCAAATATGAAACTTTAATAGGGCTTCAGAAAAGTGCGTCCACTGTACCTGCCCCCCTACTGACTCATCTCAGGCAGAACAAACAGACATTAAATGCACCTGCAATATTGCAGAACCCCTGATGCCTGTTTCACTCTGATTCATTAAAGAAACATGAAGAGCCAGATGCACTTCTGAACTACCTGACAAACTGAAGAATGTCCAACACCACAAAGCATGCAAGCATGTAAAAGATACTGAATAGTTTTAGAGCTTAATGATTCCTCAAAGAAGAACTAATTAGAAATATGACATTGTGGTTCATTGTCATTCTCCAAAACTATTTTACTGACTTTTTACTGAATTTGCCTGCCCACAACAGCTTAATCGGACATAATTTTAATAGATAAAAGGGTAAGGTGTACCACTTCTGATTTAGGTTGTCCTGTAAGGAAGTAGAAATTTGATTAAAAACAATAATGCAAGGTTAACCTCTCCAAAAAGTGGTAAAGGGAAACACTATTTCAAATACAAATATGGACAGAAACGAGAAAAAATAATTTTCTAATTCATAAACTCAAGGATCACGTGACACTGAAGAGTGAAGTAATGGCTTGCTGAAAATTCAGCTTTTCCATCACAGGAATAAATTACATTTAGTAAAAATTACTAACAATATATTAAAACGGACAACAGTTATTTGAAATTATAATAATATTTCAGGATATCACTCTTTTAACTGTATTTTGGATCAAATAAATGCAGCTTTGGTAAAGCCTTCTTTCAAAAAAAAAAAAAAGGTAAAAAAAAAAATCTTAATGACCCCAAACTTTTGAACAATAGTGAATATTTTTTAGATCTATATAGACCCTTCCATGTAAACAAAAAAAAGAAAAGTGTAAAAAATGCTTATTACTTTTCTCATATGCATCTCGCAATCACAGACAGCAGTATATGAGGGCCCTTACATGGTCCTAAATAAAAACATGTATATACATGAAATACTCTAAATGCATAATCCTGTGACAGATTAAAGGGGTGACACATTTTACCCCACTCTCCCCTACATGCCCAGGGGTGTCAGCTACATCTAACCGAGTGCTATCCTGTGCTCAAGTTCATGTGGTGTAATAAAAAAATAGCCGTTTCCTCCTCTGCTGTTAACCCTGCAGGATATCAAACCAATCTGTGTTCCAGCTACTACATGAGGACTATTCAACAAGCTTGAGGCCGTCATCACACTCAGCGGCTGTCCCTGCCTCACAGTTTGTCTTCATTCTGGGCCTTTCTCACATTCTTTCATTCTCTCTGCTGGCCTGCCTTTCTTTCTCAAGTCTCTGATCTCTCGCTGCAAAACAAACTCTTTTAGGCTCATGCTTCCTCTTTTCTCAGCACTGCTTCTAAAAGATTAATGGGAGATTAATTATTCAGGTTATGCAGTGGAGGGGGGGCAGAGAAACTCAAGCTGAGAGTCAGGAGTCGTCGGTTATTTTTAAAAACTTAATTACTGGAACTCAGTATTATTAGACTGTGTCAAGTTTACACAAGACTGAAAGTGTGAGAAAGTAAAACCGATATTGATAAAAATGCAATAGAAATTAGCTGCACTGGATCTCTGAGGCAATTCACAGTGCCAAGAAAGGCCTCGGTGAGTGTGAGAAAACTAACACTTTCAGGAATCATTCTCTTTCATTAAGACTGATTGGTGATTTGGGAACCGCTTCAAATGCATGAGCTGATCTAATTACACATTATGACAAACTGTTTCTTAAAAAGTTTCCTGACACAAAACTTTCAATTCTGGAAAGGGTTTCGGGAGCGTACATTCCAACTGTGGATGTTTCAGCGATGGTGTATGTGGTTTTGCACATACAAAGCAACCCTTCACTAGCTCACATCATTAAAGAGATCGCACTGTTAGGGGAGGGTTGCCATGGTTACCTGCTCCGCAGAGGCCTGAAGGTCTTCGTCCCGTGTGCATCCAGTCTCTCTTCATCCTCTGCAGGAGACGCAGTGCTGTCATCGAAACCTCATGGCTCTTCTCTCCAAATTCCAGCATTTGCGCAAAGCGCGGGATATAAAGACACGGATCTGAAAGAAACAAATCTCTTACAATTACAAAGCTACACAGAGAATATTTAGACCTTCTCAAACACAGTTGCATTTTCATTTCAATAACGTTCAGCCAATTAGTGTCAAATCTAAAGCTTAAAGCTGCTAATGAGTCTATGTGAGGGTTTGTGGAAGATATGCTTTACAAGTTTAAAGAGCTAATACTTTGGCTCATGACCACTGATGACTTTTCAGTTAAAAATTTAATTAGTTATGATAATGCAGCAAATATTACCTTTACGCTCACAATTCTCATTAAATACTACATACGGAAAACCTCCGTTATTAAACTTTAGCAAACTGCTTGACTCTCACACTATTAAAATTGTTTAGTAAAAGAAACATTACAGGCAATAGAGGGACCTCAATTTTCTGACAATTTCCCACTTATATTTTCAAAAGATTATGGCACTGTGTGAGAAACTCAAAAGTCTTTCTGCTCAACAAAGCATCAGCAAATTTTCCATTTAATCCAATTATTCCCAATCAGGGATATGTATAGCCCAGTGGGTGTTTAATCAGGCTCCATGGGGGTGATACTGAGTTGTTAAAAACGATAAAACAGAAATTATGACATCAAAATTATTAGGGCAGTAAAGTTATTTTAAAATAAATATATAAATAAACAATCTTATATTTTTATGGTAATTAGACTCTGGAGAGAGGGAGACTTTACTTTCTCTTCTCCATAGAAATACAGCATTTTTTTTTTTATTGTTTACATCAAATTCCTCAGTCAGTCAATCAAACCAATATCAATCTAAATGCCGTTGTTTTTTTTGTTTTTTTTTAAAGAAAATGTGTCTCCTGTGCCAATGGGAATTGGATATACATTTTTAGATGTAGGTCAGATATCCAGATATCAGATTATGTATCTAATTTAAAGTGGCTCAAAGCTAATGTGAAAAAACTGAATCTCATGTGCATTTTTTGTGTTTATACATGTGCAACAATAACTGATTTGTGTCAGATATGAGTAAAAAAAAAATTTTTGTTTTGTACCAATGCTAAAACAGCTAGATTCAATAAACTGCTTCAGTTTGAGGGGGCGCTACACTTTTGAAAAATAAAGATCTCAAAAGGGGTTTTTCGTAGTGATACCACAGAAGAACCATTTTGAGATTCCAGAAAGAACCTTTCAGTGATCCACCCAGTTTCCCCCCTTAGTTTGAAGAACATTTAAATAATCTAAGGAAACGTTTTTTCCACTTTTTGTGCAAAGGAAATGTTCCATGGAAGTTAAAAGGTCTTATTAAACCATACATGCCAATAAATAATAATAATTTTTTTAAAGAGTATACCTGTCTGGATATATTTTTTTCCCAACAACATAAAATGTTTTAGTTTGACACTGAATAATTGTATAAGTAGTATAGTTTTTAACGCCATGTAAGCAACTGAGTTACAAAATAAACAAGTGTTCCATACAGTAAAATATGAACTAAGCAAAGAAAATACAGCAGATAAGTGAATAATTGTAATAATGGCCATTTTAATAATGTTAAATATGCATGCAGTATATTCAGCACAATATAATGAATACACTTTAATGTATTTAATGTTGATGAAGGGGAGCTTGAGCTTTACTGATGAGACTGCGGCGGTACATAAAGCAAGAAAAATTGGGAAACACTGATCTAATCCCCACTACATATGTTCACTATAAGCCGCTTAGATCCGTCTGTGCTATCTGTTGGAAAAAGAATAGACCGGGAGAGAGAAACAGAAGCATCACGGACTTTACTGGGAAAACGGAGAGCAGTCGTGCGCACTACAGTATTTCCACAAGTCCAGCCCTCGTCCGGTTTCAGACTCCATCACGACCAAACGTGAACCGGATCAATAAAACTTTTGATATCGCTTTGAATCGAGCGCACTGCTTCAGCTGTGTGATGGCAACAAACTAACGCATAAAATACAGAATTGAAGGTAAGAACACGCACGATCTTTTCTCTTATTGGTTGCACTAGTAGAACAGTTCAAGTCTGACGTAAACGTTACATTTACAGAACGCAAGCTGGTTTGTAACAATCTGCAGCGCCCGGGTTGAAATTTATCGATGCTGATGGCTGTATACGCAAACAATTCCCCTCGTTGCTTTAAAGAGATACTAGTTTTTAATAAAACCTTTGCTTAATATAGCATAGAAATAATGGTTATGCATTTAGTGTTTGAACTAAGTGTAAAGAAGAAACATTGAGGAACGAAACAAACGACGTGTACGGAGGAACTTCGTATTTGATGTGCAAAAATCACCCTAGAAAGTGCTTTTATTCGGATCTTGACAGACGTTGAAATTATTTATATTATAAACTTATAAACATGCACGTGTATATATGAAAAATTAAAAATCTTCATCACGGCATAGTCCACAGAGAGATTCATAAAGGTTCTATTTTTTCAGGGTTGCCAGATCCCGCATGAAAAACAAGCGATCTGGTTTGGGGTAATGGATATTTTCGATAGATGTATCCTATATAGAAAAACTAGTTTATATTGTGTATGTATATGTATGTCATCAAATATACATACTGTGAATAATCCCCCAAAACACCGCATAACAATATGCAAATCCAATCGAAGTGTTGCTTTTAAATACCAGACATGGCAACACAGAATTTACAGGAGGGATAGAGAGCTCTGGAAGAGACAACCCTCCAATCCTGACGTCAGACGAGAAAGAGAGAGAGCTCAAAATAAACCCAAACTTCATCATTCCGTGTGGCCACCGCAGTGGAGAGATCTGCGTGGCCCTTATAAGATTACAGACCTTATTTTTGCCAATAATTGTTGTGTGGCTTTTGAGTGATTTTAAAACGATTGGATTGGATTTTTTCGGTACGGGATTGGAGAGGTTGTGAGGAAAAAGAGGATGGCTTATCTATGAAATATTCGCTGAAATCCGAATATATATGTGACCGTTTAATGACAGTGGAGCGGTTTTTGTTTCCACGCAAACCACGCAACATTATTTAGGAATACCACGAACCACGGTTGTAGCTGATAATAATTTTTCTACACATATTTTGGAAAACTTTTTTTTTGTTCTGATGCCCGCTGCGCCGGAATGCAAGCTGTCCCATCATGGCCGGATCATGAAATGTGTTACTTTTTTACTTTTGCTCCCCGAATCGTTAAAGAAGTTGAAGCGGGCAAGCAAGCACCCCGGCAGGCTCTCTCTGTGCTATAACATCTTAACTCTTTCCCTTAAGAAAAGGATGGCAGCGGAACTGTACCCCGTCAACGATCACGCGACAGTACAGAAGAACGGGACTGTGATGCTGAGTCTGTCAGAGAAGAAGAGAAGCGTGGAGCCGGTTGCGCAGACCACCGCGTCCATCGCCACCACACCGACCACAGAGCAAAACATCAACAACAACAACGTGGAAATTCCCAGCTGGCACTCCGCGCACCCGACGTTACACGAAAGGCAAGGCATTAAATCAAGTGTTATATATATATATATATATATACAGGGGTTAAATTGGGCCGGGGCCATCCGGGGCTGAGCCCAGGCACATAGGCTACGTTACCCTGGTAAATCATCAGAGGACTTTCCTCATTATAGTTTAAAACACTTTACTCATTCTTACTAATTCAATTTCAATTCAATTGCATTTCAACTTTATCTGATAAAGTAGCGTTCATGAGCGCATCGCTGCTTTGTTTACAGCTGTTTCTGGGGAAACCGTTATATGTTTGACGTTCCAAAAGCGCCTCCTACTGGCAGAGAATCAATTTGAATTTTCAATAAGCCTGTCTGCTGTTTCCCCCATCCATATCACTGTTTTAAATTGATAATTTATACTTCTGACCCGTCTCTTTTCTTAAAAAAATGGTTTAAAGACTGAAATGTCAGGTTTATCATTTTAGATTTTAGATTTTTTGTTTTTGTGAAAACCTGTATCTCAACTGTAATTAAATAATGTTTTTACAGTCATGTTACCATAGACATTGCCCTACTCTGCTCATATGGTATTCATTTTTATTTTTAAATTAATTTTTGCAGGTCTTAAAAAGTCTTAAATTTGATTTTATCTGCAGACAGATGTAGGTTTGCACACTGCCAGCATCTAGAATGATTTTGATCAGCATTTTAGTCTGCATAACAGAGGGCTCTCTCAACTTGTTATATTTTATGGTTTGTCAATTGATATAATTGTTCATTGTTATAATATAATTGTTTGTTAATTGATTTTGTAGGCTTTGCATAGACATGTGCACCACTCAAAAGCCGGAAACCACAGAGCCCCCCCCCACATAACAAATTCCAATTTAACCCCTATATATATATATTATAGATATTATATTTTTCACTACAGTATAATTAAGGCAAGTCATAGTGAACATTAACGGATACTAATATCTAAACATTTATAACATATATTTTCTTTAAAATTGAATATTTAAATGTATTTATTAATATTAATATCAAGACTGAATATATTTATTTATTTTTACTTTATGCAGAAATGCACTAATGTTCAATAATGAACACATGGCAGATGTTCATTTCATTGTTGGTCTGCCCAAGGAATCAGAAAGGATCCCAGCACACAAGGTGAGCCCACACACCTCATATTTTGGTTGTCTTCCAAACTGAACACACCTGATTCAAACCATCAGCTTATCAGTGGACCTGAAATCGGTGTCAGAAAAGGAAGACTTTCCAGGAAATGCTTTGAAACTAGATGAAACACTGATGAATTGTCTCTTCTGCTTCTCTCAGTATGTGCTGGCAGTGGGGAGTTCTGTTTTCTGTGCCATGTTTTATGGGGATCTCGCGGAAGGGGACTCTGATATCCATATTCCAGATGTGGAACCCGCTGCTTTTCTCATCCTGCTCAAGTAAGACTCACTCACTAATCACATCCGGGTATTAATAACAGGGCGACTCGGCTTTCATGCCTGGCAGCACAGATGGGATCACAGTGATGTCTTGGTTTAGGAGTTACCCTCTTATTTCAGAACTATTAGAGACTGTTTATTGGATTGTGAATGCGAATTATGTACTTTTTCCCTGGGAAAGTTGGAAGTCACTGTTTAAAGCAGTAGTAATGCAATAAAAAAAGGGCATGTTAAACAGATCAGCTTTTGTGAAGTATAAAATAGCCGTTTTATTCTCTTCCTATGGGGCACTTAAAATTTACCCTAACCTCTCTATCTCCCTCTTCTTTATCAGATACATGTACAGTGATGAGATAGACCTGGCGGCTGACACAGTACTGGCTACGCTTTACGCTGCCAAGAAATATCTGGTGTCTGCTCTGGCTCGCGCATGTGTGAGTTTTCTCGAGACAAGCCTGGAGGCGCGAAATGCGTGTGTGCTGCTATCTCAAAGTCGGCTGTTTGAGGAGCCGGAGCTCACTCAGAGGTGTTGGGAAGTGATTGATGCCCAGGCAGAGCTTGCGCTGCGCTCGGAAGGTTTCACTGAGATTGACCTGCTCACACTGGAACACATCTTGCAGAGGGAAACCCTGAATGTAAAGGAGGCGGTGGTGTTCCAGGCCATTCTAGGATGGGCCGATGCAGAGTGTCGGAGACAAGGCATGTCACAGAACCAGCGCTCCGTGCTGGGGAAGGCATTGCACCTTGTGCGTCTGCCTTCCATGACGCTGCAGGAATTTGCAGATGGAGCCGCGCAGTCGAACATTTTAACCCTTGAGGAAACGCACAACATCTTTCTCTGGTACACGGCTGCTACGAAACCTGTGCTGGGATTCCCGGTTGAACCCAGAAAGGGACTGACGCCGCAACGCTGTCATCGGTTTCAATCCTCTGCATACCGAAGCAACCAGTGGCGCTACCGCGGACGCTGTGACAGCATCCAGTTCGCTGTGGACAAGCGCGTGTTTATCGCCGGACTTGGTCTATATGGCTCCAGTGGAGGGAAGGCGGAATATAGCGTCAGAATTGAACTAAAGAGACAAGGAGTGCTTCTGGCACAAAACTTGACCAAATTTGTGTCAGACGGTTCTAGCTCAACATTCCCCGTGTGGTTTGAGCACCCAGTACAAGTGGAGCAGGATGCGTTCTACACGGTTAGCGCCGTTCTAGATGGGAGCGAGCTAAGTTATTTTGGACAGGAAGGAATGACAGAAGTCCAGTGTGGGAAAGTCACCTTTCAGTTTCAATGTTCCTCTGACAGTACTAACGGGACAGGGGTGCAGGGGGGACAGATTCCGGAGCTGATATTTTATGCATGATTACGCGGAATTATCTGTTAATGAAGAGACAGCAGGGGGATTTTTCCTCTCAAATAAATGCCTTTACTCACAATATAGCTGCAAGACACTACTAGAAGAGGAGACTATCCCCTCTGATTTTTTTTACATTGTACATATAATGGAATGCTGCCCAAACTTATTTATTTCTTTAAACATATTGTTTTAAAACACGTACTTTAATTTAAGCACATTTGATTTCTAATTATTCATAATCTGCCTGTGTACAGTGAAACATGGGTAGTTTGCACTTGAAACTAGGCAGCTTTTCCTCTGTCTTGTTATTTAATGTTTATTTGTTGACAGCTTTATGCTGAGTGACCTAAAAAGGGTTTCAAGAGCCTGCAAAATCATAAAATATTTGTTTCTATTCATCAAACAGTATTTTGTTTTCTTCTGTCTAATGCACAGTTATATGACCTATACTGTTTCACTCTAGGTAAAATATGACCTTTCAAAACCTTAAAAATGAAAAGTCTGTCATCATTTACTCATCCTTATGTCGTTCCAAACTTCAGTGACTAACTGATTTCTTAAAACACAAAAAAGACAATATATTGAAGAATGTTTCAGCTGTTTTTGCCCATAATATAGGATCCAAAAAATAAAATAAAACAAAGGGTCCAAAACAACATTGGAACCCACTGACTTTCACTGTATGTACAAAAAAAAAAAACTAAAACTAAAAAAAATTTTTTTTGTTCCACAGGCAAAAGAAAGTCATACAAGTTTGAAATTACATGAAGGCAAATACATTATGTCAGAATATTGCTTTGTATTGTTGATTGAGCAAAGCAACTGACCAAAACCATCAAAGTGTTCAATTCAGGTTAAAATTTACACTGCAAGCAAAGCTTCATTTACAGTTGCACAGCACCCTCTGGGCTTTAACAGTAGCACTACACAGACCAGCTCACATACTCATACACAGTACCAGTACAATTTAGATGAGCAACAAAGCATCATGGTAAACTACAATGTCACTTATGTGATGCTTACCAATCGCTGGCGCACTGATACACAGCTCTCTGGCTAAAACAAGGAAGGTTTTTCCCAAAACATACACATTCACCTATAGGGCAAGAGAGAAAGATAGAGTGAGAAATGGACATAAATTTGTGGTCAAGAAAGAAAATGACTACAAATACAGAAATAGACAGTGGGAATATATAACAGACAATGAACAAGAGATATAAGATAAAGGGACATAACAGATGCAGTATTTTAACAGATGCTGAAGGTTGCAGAGTTCATAGCTCTGGGGTTTGGATCCGTACCAGCATCACCACAGAGTCTTCACTTTCTCACAAATTCTATATCTGTGTCTTATCCTTAGAGGATGAACTACAATAACAAAAATATTTCATAAAACAAGCTTTAAACATCATATAACTCAATACTTATCTTCATGGACCACCTTAATAATCATCAAAAAAAAAAAGATATCCATGAGGAACGACACACATGCACAAACACAGACACCCTATTTCTTCCATCTGGGCCCCAATGCATTAAAGAGGAATCTTTTTTGGTTGATGTCAGAGGTCATGACCACTGAAAAGTAGGATGGCCCTCACACACTCCTGACCTGAGAGGGGCGGCGACAGCCTTATGCCTCAAAAAGCTCCTCTGTCTGGGGGAGAGTAAAGGAATTTATGGGTCCTCTCTCTGATAAAATCCCGTAATGATTCAAATACCGCAGTGGACAGAATCTGCGTGTTAGCGTGTGGGATGGTGGGGGGGGGACAGCTGGGAGGGTAAAAATATAAAACGGACACACCAGCTGGGGGAAAATGGCTTTCACACACTAACTGGGTTCAAAAGTCTGGGATTGCTAGTGAAAATGCATCCATTTTGCATTATGTTATTATTTAACATAAGCGTGTTCATTCTAAATTATACAAGTAACCAGCATAACAATTTTGAGTGAAAAGCTGTAATTAAAAATGTACATGAACTTCAGAATGTTTTAGTATTTTGTTTGGCTCCATTTCACATAAATAATGTCACAAATTTGCTTTTAACAAAGCGTGAGCTTAGAGGGGACCGTGCCTTTGCTGTGGCAGCTCCTAAACTGTGGAATGATCTTCCTCTGCCCTTTAGACAGGTCTCTTCATTGTCTTTATTTAAATCGCTTCTTAAAACCCATCTTTTCTCCTTGGCCTTTGACACCTGATGTTGACATTTTGTTTATTTATTTTATTGTGTCTGTGGTATGTTTTATGTCTCTTAAAGGGATAGTTCACCCAAAAATGAAAATTTGATGTTTATCTGCTTACCCCCAGGGCATCCAAGATGTAGGTGACTTTGTTTCTTCAGTAGAACACAAATTATGATTTTTAACTCCAACCGTTGCAGTCTGTCAGTCGTATAATGCATGGCAATGGTAACAAAATCTATGAGAGTAAAAAAAACATGCACAGACAAATCCAAATTAAACCCTGTGGCTCGTGACGACACTTTGATGTCCTAAGACACGAAACGATCGTTTTTTGCGAGAAACCAAACAGTATTTATATCATTTTTTACCTATAATACAACACTATGTCCAACTTCCTTGAGCGCGCACACGGCATCCGGTGCGTGAGGTGTGTACG